GACCACTGGGGTCTTGCTGGGCTGGCCGGCCCTCCCCAGGGGTGGTAATCAGTCACCTCTGCTCACTGCCACGCAAGCCTCCGCACCAAGAGGGCACCACCCAGAGCCACAGCCCTGGATTTCACAGAGACCTTCCCCCCACCTCCCGGGTCTCCAGGCCCCAGACTCCAGCAGGTCAGGGCTTGGAGCCGCCCCGCCCCCGCCCCCGCCCCCCGCCCTGCTACGTGAATCCCTTGTTCCCCAGTCCCATCCTGCGGCCACCAGGGAATTTGAGAGTTGAGATCCCTGAATATTTCATCGCCACCTCAGCCTTGGGTTGAAGCAACAGCCAACTTCGAGCTCATGGATAATTTACGGCCCCGGCAGAGCACCCGGAAGTGGTGAGGGGGAGGGGCAGGGGGCGTGGGGCGGGGTGAAGTCCGGCCTGGGCCGCGCGGAGGGTGCTGGAGAGAGGCCAGGTCTGTCCGGAGTGTGTGTGTGCTTATGTGTGGAGGGGGCGGTGCTCCAAGGCCTGGGACATTTCCATTTTTGAGGATACCAATGTATTACCAAAAAAAAAAAGCAAAACCCCACAACCACCACCAACCAGGTTTGTCAAAATAATTGTACTAAAGGTTAAAGTCATGAGACAAGCATTTTCTGACTTCATTCCTATCCCCTGTCTCTGTAACTGTGAGCATAACCTCATTTGGAGATACCAAAAGCTTTTTTTTTTTTTTTTAAGATTTTACTTTTAAGTAATCTCTGCACGCAATGTGGGGCTCAGATTTACAACCCCGAGATCAAGAGTCACCTTCTCCTCTGATTAAGCCAGCCAGGCGCCCCCCACAAAAGCTTTTTTTTTTTTTAAGATTTTATTTGTTTATTCATGAAAGACAGAGAAAGAGAGAGAGAGAGAGGCGCAGAGGGAGAAGCAGGCTCCCAAGGAGCAGGGAGCCCGACGTGGGACTCGATCCCAGGACCTCGGGACCATGACCTGAGCCGAAGGCAGACGCTCAACCGTCTGAGCCACTCAGGCGCCCCACAAAAGCTTTTAATGGAATGTCCTTCATGGCTGTGAGGTCTCTAAAAGGCCCCCTGCTCCCTACACCCACCAGGGCCAGGGAGAGAGGCCAGACTTGGCGCTCAGACTGGCTGAACTGCGCTCCTTCCTAGCTTCCTCCAGGAAGGCCACCAGGATTTAGCCAAGGGGTCAAGGGAAAAGGAAGGCATCTCACGTGGCCATTCTTTACTGTGCTCCAAGAACATAATATCCCACTCTTCTCCTAAAAGGAAAGATGAAAAAGGTGACCCAAATGGAAAATGTCAAGTTCTTGACTCTTCATTGGGAGTGACTTACCTTAGTGAGTTCTTCCCCAGATTGAGAGGATTAAGTATATGTGTGTGGGGAAGGGGCAGTAAAAAAGTAGGCACGTTCTCCCCCTTACCTCAGTTTCCCCACCTGATCATGGGCGTGAGAGGTGTTCCCACCCCAAGGGCTGTTTGGGGGACAGAAGAGATGCTATCCAGGTGCCCTGGCGCCAAGTGGAACCCAGGCAGGTGGTGATTACAGGTGATGTGTCCACCGGTCGGCCTGGGGCTGGCTCTGGTGGGCAGTCCCAGGCCCCCGCATACTCCCACCTAATCCCTGAGTCATTTTGGGGCTAAGCCAGCCTTCTACACTCTCTGGGCCTCAGTTTCCCCATCCATGAAGGTGGGGCCATCTGCCAGGGCTACCCTTGGGGAGACGTGGGAGAGCTGGACGAAGACCCCAGAGTGGGGAAGCTGCAGGGGGCGTGGGCCCTGCAGCTGCTAGAACTTCTGCAGTCAGGTTATGCTGCTGGCACGGTGCCAACTGGACACAGCCTTCTGACCCAGGGAAGGGGTCTTTCTCTGTCCCCAGGGGAGACCCTACTCTCCTGGAGAAAGGGGAACACCAGGGTGAGACTTTAAGAACTATTGCTCAAACCTAAGGGGGGATTTCTTCCATTAGAATTTACTGGAATTTTGGAAGAGCCCGTAGGACTTTCCCCCTCCACTGGCCCTCACTTCTCAGGATTCAAGAAGGTGCTGGTAAGTGACCCCAGCAAGTCTGACCCAGGCTCCCTAACATGGGCCCAATTCCATGGAGCCGACAATGGCGGGAGGCAGGGGAGGGCAGGCTCTGGAATTGGGCCCGAGATGCAGAACCTGATTGCCTGCTTTTCCTTCCGCTCCCTACCCGCTTCTTCCCTCCCTTCTAGAACTCCTTGCCTCCCTCAGTAGGCTGCAGCAATGTGGGGGCTCTGTCCACACATCTAGCCCCAAAGCCCCAAAGCCAACACCTTTCTCTGAGCAGCATCGATCTGGGGGAGAAGACTTTCAAACCCACCTCAGCCACCACTCAATGTGAGGAACCTGGGACAAGTTGCTTCTCATTCCTCAGCCTCACCTGGAGCAGAAGGGAACTGAGGCCTATGTCACGAGAATGTTTAAGACCAAGTGCCCAGCATATGGTAGGTACTCGGTACACCGTAGTAGTGAAGCTTGCTTCAGGACGGGGTCTTTCTGGGTCTGGGCACCTCTGTGGCTTCTGAACCTGGCCCTATTGTGTAAGGTCGCCATCCCCAGTCCCTTTTAGGACTTCCCTAACCTTCTACCCATTATACTACAGATGCCATGACTGATGAGGTGCTGGGTGGGGTGTTGGGGGGCGGGGTACAGAGGGACCAGGTGAGACAGATGTGGAAGAGGCAAGGGTGTCTGCAGTGGGTGGGGTTGGGAGAATGGGCTGGAGGGCCCACGCTGGGACTCGGTCTCACCGGTTTGGGGACCTGGCCTGGCACTGGGGAGACGCTGGTATCAGGGAGAGGGGGGAGGGGGTGGTGGCTGCCTAGAAGAGGAGAGCTGAGTAAGGGAGGGACACGGGGCTGCAGGGCCTGGGCGAGGGCTTGCCCGTGGGGAGAGGGCCCAGGCCGGGGCTGGCATTCCGCCCCCGGGGGATACCCCCCTCACACACACACTGTCTCATCACCACACATACAAAGACGCCACTCTCAGCTGCACACTTAGACACACACCACAAGCTTCTGAAATGGCATCCCCTCAGCTCTCCCGTCCCTCCTCCCCAGCTCTATTTTTTTGTCTGATTTATCAGACTAACCATATAATTTATTATAACATTTTTAAAAATATTTTATTTCTTTATTTGAGAGAGAGAATGAGATAGAGAGAGCATGAGAGGGAAGAGGGTCAGAGGGAGAAGCAGACTCCCCGCTCAGCAGGGAGCCCGATGTGGGACTCGATCCCGGGACTCCAGGATCATGACCTGAGCCGAAGGCAGTCGCCCAACCAACTGAGCCACCCAGGCGCCCTATTATAACATTTATTGTCGGGGCACCTGGGTGGCTCAGTCGTTAAGCATCTGCCTTCAGCTCAGGTCATGATCCTGGGGTCCTGGGATCGAGCGCCACGTCGGGCTCCCTGCTCAGCGGGAAGTCTGCTTCTGCCTCTCCCTCTGCCCCTCCCCACTGCTCCTGTGCTCTCTAATAAATAAATAAAATCCTTTTAAAAAAATAACATTTATTGTTTATTGCAGGTCTCTCTGCTGGGAGGCAAGCTCCATGAAGGCAGGGTGCTTGGCCTGCTTTTGCCCACTATTGTATGCCCAGCACCTACAGTGTGCTTAGCACGTACTAGGTGCTCAATAAATACGTGCTGAGTGAGCGAACCCCTCCAGAAACACATTCACGAAGGCCGGCGCGGTCATGGAGCCATGTGAAGAACCATGCTCGGTCACCCGTGAAACTGCCACAGACATTCTCGGACACACGCACACAGACCTTCTTGCTTCTGCACACACACCCTTTCAGACTCACACCCAGCTGTCCAGATTCCAAAGCGCCTACTCACAGCAGGCACGCTCCGGCACATCCCAGCTCCCCAGCCCCTCCCAGAAACGGGGCGGGGCGTCAGTGGAAGCTGACTACACAGCAGCTAGGAAGGGGTGGGGTGGGGCAGGCCCACCCTGGCACCTGCGAGACGCTACCGCTGCGGACCCACCTACAGGAGAAAGGGAGTGAGGTCACCGGTGCCCTCAGCCTTGACCCAGCCCTGCTGCAGACTGACTCTGGCCTCCCTGTCCTCGTCCCCACCAGAGACCCAGGGGTGGGGTTTGGGGTGAGGCAGAGAGTCCTCCTGGGCGCAGAGATGGGGAGGGCCCCGGCCAGGTCACCTGGCACGTCTGTGGGGAGGGCAGGGGTGCGGGCTTCCCAGCATCTGCTCCACCCTCGGATAGGAGAAGAAGCCTCCTACACCACCCTGCCCCCTGGGAGGCCTGAAACATGGGGAGTCGGGCAGAACTGTTACCTGCCTGGTCCTGGCCCAGGGTCCCTCTCCAGAGAGGCCCCTTTCCCCCACCTCCCCCCGTGGAACACGGGGGAGGACACGGGTGCATCACGGCACTGAACAGTAGCCACCTGGCATTACCCTCACCTCTGCACCTCCAGACTCTCTGCCCCCTAGAGCTGATGGAAGACTGGGCAGGAGGATCTGGCAGTGCCACTGCTACCACGAGGTCTCATGTTATCAAACTGTATGCCTAGGGCCCCTCTGGCTGCTGAGATGGAGCCCCAACCTCTGCTGAAGAATGGGAGAAGGGGCAGAGAGCAGGGCAGGGAATGCTTGCTCAGCCCCTCGAGAACCTGGGTCAGGAAATGCCTAGAAAGTAACAACCGGAAACATCCTTAGCCCCCTCCCCATGCTCACCACACTCCCCGAGGGAAGCAATGCTGAACCAGGAAAATACAGGAAATCTGAAATCACCTTCCAGCGACTGCAGAAGGAACTGCATGCTCTCGCCCCCTGGCGGGCGGATCTGCAATTGCACTCTGCTCTCAAAAAAACCCGCCCAGGGTCCCCTGAGGCCAAACTGTGCCCCCTTGCCCACCCCATATTTACACAGGAGGGGAGATGGACGCGGAGAGAGGGAACGACCCGCACCCTCAGCCCAGGGGAGACCGGACCCCAGGTACTGCAATTCATTCAACAAGAAACATTTATTGAGCACCCACTGCCAGTGAGCCAGGAACCACTGGACTCTGGAGCGCTCTTCATAACATCAGCGGCCCCTCTGCTGTCTCTGAAATCCAGGCTGAGACCCAGCTTGGAGGAGCAGGAACCTTCTCCTCCAGGAGACTGTCCAGCTGAGGAGAGCACCGAGGAGGAGGATGGGCCATCAGCAGCTGGAGCACCACCGTCCTGTGGCCCAGAGACCCTGAGACCTGGGGAGCAGCGCTCACAGGTGGGATGGGATGGGGCCTGGTCAGCTATGTCCGTTGTACATTTTTAATAAATAGTTCTTGCTGCTGCCCAGGCTGGTGAGGGCGGTATCACTGGGCTCAGGTTTCCCCAGCTCTTGAGGGGTGCAAGGGTGGCCCTCTCATGCTAGTTCAGGCTCCAGCTCTGGAACGGAAAGGAGGGAGCCCCGGGTTAGCCCCGCACCCACTCCCAACAAGCATCTGGGCACTGTCCTGGGGGCATGGGGGCAGGCAGGAGGGAGGCTCCCCGGGGCAGGTCTCAGTGGGGTCCCAGCTCCAGAGAGGATGCCACCCCCTCACACACAAGGTGGGACAGGGTTGGCTAACAGGCTAGAAGCCCCCAGAGGAGAGGTCCCCACACCCCAACTGCCTCTGCCGCGCAGTACACGGATCCTTCTGTGGCCAACCTCCACCCCGGGTGGCAGCCCCGCTCTCCGCCAGCACTCGAGTCACTGACCGGCCTCTGCCTCGTCACCCTTGGCATCCGGCTCCTGCCACCAGTCAGCATAGATGCCCTCCTCGTAGTCCCCCTCCCCCTCGAACTCGGCGTCGGACGGCGGGTCCTTGGGTTCCACGGCAGGCACTGTCTCTTCAAGCTCCATCTAGAGCAGCCCCAGGGTGGGCAGGGAAATGAGGTCACAGCAGGTGCAAACCCAGACGGGCTCCCGTCCTGGATGAGCCCCCCATCCCATCTCAGCCCCCAAAGGCCCTCCTTCCCCAGTCTCAAGATCCCACCAGGGACGGATCTGAGGGTTTCTCCCACAAGGTCCCACTCCCAAACTGCCGCTCCCAGGGCCGATGCTCCCCCAGCAGAGAGTCAATGTCAGCCAAGCGTTCCCTCGCCAAGGCCCTCCTTTGAAGCATGAATTCCACAGCAAATGCTGCTAGTCCATACATACCGTGTGCTCATGCAGTTTCCTGGCCAGGAACATGATTACCTCCCCCACCACCACCCCGTGCCTGGGTAATGCCTGGACCGTTCTTGTTGACCTCACCAATGCCAGGCGTCAGCTCCAGGATGCAACCCTGGCCGATCAGCCCGGTTGGACCTGGAGCCCTCCTCTGCTGGCCCATGCTGACCTCTCCTGAGCTGGTGCCTCCCCCACTAGACCGTGAGCTGCTTGGGAAAAGGACTCTGCCTTTCATCAACTTGCCCCAGGGCCCCACAGTGTCTGGCAAACAGCAGGCCACAAATAACAGTAATCAAAATGGCACCATTCACTGAGCATCTGTACTAAGTGCTTTCCATACTCAATCTCATTTCATTGCCACCACAGTGGTGTGACGTGGGCATCATCCTCTGCATTCGAGATGCAGGAAGGGGAGTTGGAGAGCTACTTAAGATTTGCCTGGAGGCTGCCCACCCACTAAGTGGCGAGGCCAAGTCAGGCTGTTGCCAAAGGCAGGGTGCAAACGGTGTACCCCCTGCCCCCCTATGTGACAAGTAGTAGGAGCATGGGTGAGTGAACGAAGGGGGTAATGAATAAATCAGCACCGAGCACAACACCTCACTGAAATTCAGACTCTCAAACCCTCATTCAGAATCAAGGTACCACACTGTAGTCCTTCCTTCCTGGTATCCTGCATTCATTCATTCGCTGGTTCATTCAAACTCCGTTTTCCCACACCAGCTCTGTGGCAGGTGCTGTGGAAAAGCTGGGAATAACCTGGTCCCCCGTCCCAGAGCACAACCCTCTGGGAGACTGGACAGAGAAGGGGGCTGGGGGTCGGGGGTGGGGAGCGACCAGGGCTACAAATCACTCCAGGTCCGGGGAGGCATAGAGGGTCAGAACTGGCACTGCAAGCCCAGAAGACAGAGCCAGGGCATGCAGGGAGGGCTTCTTGGAGGAGCTGCCGCTTGAGCTGGGCTGGGGAGTTATTGGGCAAGACACGTAGAGAAAGGGAGCATGAAAACACTGAGCGGGGAGAAAAGAGCAGGTATAGATGAGGGACAGTGAATCTCTCCTGCTTCACAGCAGTTGAGTGCCAAGAGGTGGGGCCGAGCTTTGGCACAGTGGCCCCCCCGGAAGAAGATCAGGGGTCTCCATCATGGCCCAGCCTAGAGAGCAGGGGGCCGCTTACCTCATCATCTGACTGCAGGTACAGATGTGCAAACTCCAGCAGCTCCCGAAGCTCAGTGGTCTGGTTGTGGTAGAACATGGCCTCCTGAGAGGAGGGGAGGAACACGGGGTAAGCCAGACCCTGCTGCCAGGTGGGGGAGGAGCCACATTGTTAGGATCTGCGCCCTCCCACCCTTTTTCAGCTCAAAGAGCAGGGAACAGGTATCAGCTCACATGCTGGTGGAAAAAAATTACAGCTGCTTGGAGTGCCTGGGTTAAGGAGGATTCTGAGGACTCTTAGAAAGAGTTCCCCAATCCATTAGCAATGTCTGCCACACGTAAGGAAATTGAGGGTGGCACCATGTGCCCCATGACTGCCAGTCTTGCCCTAGATTCCCAGGGGTTCCTTAGCGGGTCCAAGCCAGGGGGTCCCTGGGGAAGAAGGGCAAAGGCCAGCGGTGAGAGTGACCAGGGTGGGGCGGGGAGCAGGCAGGGATGGACAGGTATTTTGGGCCTCCCACAGCCCGGCCTCTGTGCTGTCACGGCAGGTGGTACCACTCCCATTTTGCAGGTGAGGCCACATATTCAGAAAGGAGCAGTAATGTTCCCAGGCCCATTCAGCTGGTGGGACTGGCTTTGAACCCAGGACTCCAACCACAACCCACAAGTCTTTCTTTTCCCTTCCTATCCTGCCTTCCAAAGAAGCCAGGATTTTTTTTTTTTTTTTTTTTAATTTTTATTAAACTGAGAGTGCCTCCAAAGGCAGAGCCCACCTCCCGGGGCTGGAAGTCCTCCTCCTCCAGGCCCCAGCGAGCCCGGTGGAAGCGGTAGTACACCAGGTTCTGCTGCATGACGCTATCTTCGGGGTCGAAGAGCATGTAGCTGGCGGCGCTGCGGGCGGCCTGGCGCACGTCGTTCACTGCAGGCAGGACAGGAGTGAGGGGTAGTCCTGGTGCCTCCCCACCTTCAGGGACAATGCCTTCCTAGCCCATCCCTATCTCCCAACTCAGTCCAGGGCTCCTGGCTCCCCAGCTGCCTCTCAGAAGATCTTTTGGCCACCTCACTGCACCCAAATAATAACGCAAGCTAGAATGCACTGGGAACTTGCCATGGGCCAGGCCCATGTCATTCATTTAAGCCTCACCATTATTATCATTCCCACTTTATAGACAAGAGATCTGAGGCACGGAGAGATTAGGGAGATTTCTCAAGCTGACACAGCCGGAGAATAATGGCCCTGGGGAATGAGAGCCCAGCAGCCTGGCCCTCAACCTCTCTGCCAACTGGACCCATGAAGGGTCTCCTGGCCCGTTGGTCCTCAGCTCCTCCACTCCGACTCCAGCCTCCATACGAATTTTGGCATCTTAGCATTGCAGGAACACTGGAGATCATCCATCCCAGCCCCAGCTGATGCTCAGGATCTCCCCCGGACAAGAAGAGCCATAAGTCCTGGTGCTACTTATCATCAGTCATGTGACTAATGGCCCCATTGCACTGTATGAGCCTCAGCTTCTCATCCGAAAAACGGGTCCAGTCATGTCAGCTGCCAGGAGTGGGGGGGCTGGTAAAAGCATCAAGTGAGATAAACAGACATGGCAGGGGTGTGTAAACTATGAAGTGCTGTGCAGTTGTTGGCTACCCAGTCATTTACCCAAGAGGTCCCTGAATTCTCCTAAGGCTGCTCTCTGTTCCTTCCCACCCTCTCACCTGTCCGCCAGCCCCAGGCTTCCCTCCCGTCACCCAGGGTGCTCACTCCCGAGGAACGGCTCGCCACGACTCTGACACTCCCAGTGCGGTGCTCCGCCCCCCCCACCCGTCCCAAGCCCACTGGGGGGCTCACACTTGTAGTAGGCAAACTGCAGGTAGTGGTACATGGTAGCCACAAACTTCTCCACGAAATAGCCACCCACGTTGGGGGTGAGGTTGGCCTCACAGTCCACCTTGCACTGCAGGGACTCTGCAAAAAGATCTAGGGGGCGGGAGGGAGTGGTGAGGAGCTGGGGCCCAGCCAGCCAGTGCGATCCCAGGAGGTAATGCTGGTGGAGACTTTGCTCAGCATACTAAGGGCAGTGCTAAGGACGACCGGGCCAGGGAGGACTTATCACCCCCTCGACTCAACCCCCACCCCAAAACCACAGGGAGCTGGGGCATTCTGAGGCAGACGAGGTTTGGGGGTGGGACTGAAGCCTAGATAGAGAAGCTCAGGACAGTCCTCTGTGCCCCCCCTGCTGAGGAACCCCACAGTTAGGGATCCCCAGACTAGGTGTGATTTCTGGCCACAAACCGCCTTCTGCACACACCCCCTTGGCACCTTTGCCCTCTTCCTGGAAGGCCTGTGAACCCAATGTCCCCAGACCCTTTGGGGATGTCACCACCTCTCTGCACCCATGCCCACACCTTGGCCAGTCAGGACTGTGGCCTGTCCCTCTCAGAGGACTGAAGGCTCCCGGAGCGGGTTAACATCTTACTCCGGTCCACCTCCCAAGAACTTCCTCCATGCCTCATGAAAGTGTACGGGAGGCATACTTGTGCTAAGAGGCCTTAGGAGTTCTGGGAAGCAGGGCCCTGTGGGTGACAGGGATGTCCACAGGGGTCTGCAGGGACTGGGGAATACCTGCTATGGCCGGGTAGAAGTCCTTGAAGTCCACCTGCTCGTGGGCCCCCTCGCAGCTGGCCAGACACCGGGCAAAGACTGCCAGGTACTGGGCCAGGGCCCGCTCCATGTCCTCCGCGCTGCTTCGGAAGTCCCCGCTGTTGTAGAGCTTCACGGCCCTGAGGAACACGGCCTGGAGGGGAGCGGGTAAGGGTCAGGGAGACGCCCCAACACCTCCCCTCCTCTACAAGCGTCAGGGCCAGCCCCACCCCTCCACCCCACCTCGTAGGGCTGCGCCTCCAAGTCTGTGAGCGGCTCGTCGGCGGCGTCTAGTAGCCCCCGGTAGTAGCTGAGGTACTTGGCGGTTAGCTCGTGCTTCGGGTTCCTCTGGAGGAAGGTGTAGGCCGCGGCTGCCGCCTTCTCCAGCCGGTTAGCCTGTGCGGCGGGGACAGAGGGGGTCGGAAGGGCCAGAGCCTGCAGCCCGGGAGCGCACGAGCGGGCTTGGCTGTCCCGGGTTGTGCGACCGACTCTGCTCCCGACCGGACAGCACCCTACGCCGGCTCCGAACCACGCGCCCCAGCCGGGCCCCGGGGGCGAGGCAGGGCAGGGGCGCCGGGGGGTGAGAGGCGGAGGCATGGTTGGTGGGGGAGGCGAGGCGAGGGAGGCTCTGGGACTTGGGGCGAGGCGGGGCTGGGGGGACGCCGGCGCGAAGGAGGGCGCGGCGGGACGAGGGCGCGGTGATGGGGACTCCGGGACGGGGGGCGAGGCGGGGCTGGCGGGGCGCGGCGGGACAGGGGGCGCCGGGGCGGAAGGAGGGCGCGGCGGGACGAGGGCGCGGTGAGGGGGACTCCGGGACGGGGAGCGCGGCGAGACAGGGGGCGCCGGCAGGGGCCCACCTTGAACAGCGCGTAGTGCAGGTACTGGTAGGGCAGGCGGCTCTGGAAGTCGCGCAGCAGCTGCCGCGGCGGGTAGGGCACCTGGAAGGCGGGCAGCGTCCGCTTGCAGCGCCGCAGGCAGGCGGCGCGTTCCAGGACGTGGCCGAAGAGCTGCAGCTCGCGGGCCCACTCGTCGCCGCCGCGGCCGCCGTCGGGACCGAGCGCGGGCGCCGAGGGCGAGGCCGCGGGCGGCGCGGGGCCGCTGCAGTTGGCGTGGCAGAAGGCCTCGCTGTCCCGCAGCAGCCGGTGCAGCCGCAGCGCCGCCTCGAGGTACCGCGCGCTCTCGCGCCAGCTCTCCCCTTCGTACTGCTCGAGCGCGTGCCCGTAGGCTGCGGCCAGGGGCATCAGGTCCTCGGGCGGGAAGCCCCGGAAGCTGTACTTTTCGTACTGCGCCGCGGCGCTGCCCAGCAGCAGCCACAGCAGCCCCCACGCCGCCCGCCCCATGGCCGCGCCGCGCCGGCCGGCTCTCCCGGGCGGAGCAGGCGTCAGGGCCGGCCGGGCGGCGGGAGCGGGGGCCGGGCGGGCGCGCCCGCTGGGTCTTAGCGCCGGGCACCCGAGAGCGGGGAGCAGGAAGGCGGGGTCGCGGTCTGGGTCAGCTCCCCCGAGGGGCAGAGGGCCGTGGTGTCCTGAGTCCCCTACGTTGGCCGACCTCCTGCTCTTGGGGGTCTTCCGCTTGACAGAGGGTAAGTGGGTGGAGGAACGCTTCCCGCAGGGATGGGAGTCCGCAAAGCCCCTCCCCACACAAGGACAGTCCCCCACCTTAAGATCAAGTAACTGAGGGAGCCCCGCCTCCTCCACTCTGCCTAAACCCTGGCACCCGGTCTTCTTTCCATTACAGGGTACCTTCTGCTTCTTCTCCGCCCCTAGCCCCGAAGAAGTCACTGCTAGTGTCCCCTCCCCGCTCCCCCCACCCCACGCCGGTCTGCTACGGGGAGGCGCACACCTGGCTTCCCCCTCGCACACAGCACCCTCGCCGCCGCCCACGCATCTCCACCCCCGCGCGGGAGAGGCTTGGCGGTCCAGCTTTTTCAAGCCGCTGCAGCTCGTCCCTGGAGAAGTCATCCCCGGGACAGTGGGGGGGGTGGGGGGGACGGGGGGGAATACCAAGATTCTGGAGCCCCACCAGCCACCTGGAGAGGCCTAGATTTGGGGGGTGCCAGCGAAAGAAGCAAGGGATGCTTCAGCCCGGCTTTAGGACCCGGGGGCCCCGGAAAAAAGACGCTGAACTTTTTTTTTTTTTTTTTTTTAAATGGGAGTCAGCTCCGACTTCTCGGCTTTCCCGAGCCTCCCTCCCTGGCCGGGCCCCTGGACGCCGAGCCCCGGGAGAGCGGGAGGGGGGAGCTGCAGTCCTTTGTGGTGCATTCCTGTGACTCCACCGCTCTGCCTCGCCCCCTCCTCCTCTTCCACCCTCCGTCTCCCGCCCCCCGCCCCGCGCCAGCTCAGTCTCCCCTGCCCCCATTCCACGTGGACCCGCCAGGGCGGGGGTGGAGACGGAGGACAGGAAGAGGGGGAGCCTGCTCCGGGAAGAGGGGGGAAGAAGGTTGGCGGCGGCGACTCCCTCGCTCGCCCTCACTGCCGGCCGTCCCAGCTCCAGGCACCATGTTTCGCGCGGTGTCCCCCAGCCACACCATCCTCGGGCTCCCCCTGCTGCAGCTGGTGCTGCTGCTGCTGCTGGTGCAGGCGGTGGGGAGGGGGCTGGGCCGTGCCAGCCCGGCCGGGGGCCCCCTGGAAGATGTAGTCATCGAGAGGTACCACATCCCCAGGACCTGTCCCCGGGAAGTGCAGATGGGGGATTTTGTGCGCTACCACTACAACGGCACTTTCGAGGATGGCAAAAAGTTTGACTCGAGGTAATGGGTTGGGTGCCCCCAGACTCGCCACTCCCCTTGGGGCCAGGCTCTCCTGATCCTGGGGACCCCTTGTAGCCCCCCTTAGGCTGTGTCTGTATCCCCTACTCCATGGTCTTCTAACCCCTAACACAGCACCTTGGGGATGGGGACTCCCAGACATCCATCTTCCCCAAGACATCCTTGCCCTGGATTTCAAACCCTCACCTCTCAGAGGACCCCAGTTTCTTTTACAGCAAGCTCCCCATTTTCCCCCAAGTGTTTGATGATCAAGGGGAACTGCTCTGTTTACTTACCGGTGCTTTACTTAAAGGCCTGGCAGGGAGCAGGTCCTGGTCCCCAGTGTTGGGGGGAAGGGCATGGCCCCTGCTGCATGTGAATCCTCCAGGGGTCTCAGTCTAGGACCCCCGCCCTTTCTACCCAGCCTGAATCCCTTCTGGTTCCAGCCCCAGGGTCTAGTGCTGTTGTAACCAGAGAACCTTTTTGGAGGCGGTGGGGGTTAGGAGAAGCAGGCGTAGTAGAGCCGAGGGAGCATTGTAATAAGACAGCAGGATGGATCCAGGAGCGTAGGGCATAGCTCTGTGTCGGGATCCTATCTGTCTACGTGTCATATGGCCGGGCATTGACTCCCTGGGCTCCTCGGAGGGTTCTCTTACATCTCTCTCTGGGTCTCCCTGCACCCCCACCTTCCTCCATCTTAGCTCTATCAGGCCAGGGCTGTCGCCCATCTTGCCAGCCTTGGGGTTTGAGATGGGTTTCTGGTCTGATCAGGCCTTTGGTCTGCTCTGGCAAGTCACTTTTGTTGGTGGAGGCAGGGCAGGGCTGCATACCAGCCCTGGTTAAACCTCAGGTCCCAGACACATACCATATCCCAAGAAGTCAGTCCCTCTTAGACCCCTTCCCAAAACACACAACTCAGCCCACAGGAAATTAGTGGCCTTGGCTTTGGAAGGCAGGCAGGCAGTATACTGGGTAAGAACATGAACTCCAGAGTCCAAGACACTGGGTTCCAATCCAGCCTGTGACCATGGACAAGGAATTTTGCCACTTTAAGCTTCATGTTCCTTATCTGAAAAATGGAGGTTCAAAACAATCTGGAAAATTAAGTGCTCCCTTCCTAAGCTGATAACAGGGCTCAAGTAAGATGATGAATGAAAGCAAACTTCGCGCAGTGCCTGCCAATCCGAAAGCCAGTTGAGGGCCTATTAGCCTTGACTGTGGGGAGGACTGGGTGCTCTGTGTTTGTTTTTTTGTTTTTTTTTAAGATTTTATTTATTTATTTGACAGAGAGAGAGACAGCAAGAGAGGGAACACAAGCAGGGGGAGAGGGAGAGGGAGAAGCAGGCTTCCCGCCAAGCAGGGAGCCCAGTGCAGGGCTCGATCCCAGGACCCCGGGATCATGACCTGAGCTGAAGGCAGATGCTTAACGACTGAGCCTCCCAGTCGCCCCTGGGTGCTCTGTTTTTAATTGGTAGAAATTTTGTGCAGGCTTGGGCCCTCACAACGGCACTGTGAAGGAAGCAGCTCAGTGGGCAGAATGAGGTATGGCCCGTGGCCAGGAGTACAGCCCAGGTCAGGGAGTGATGGGGAGCAGGGGATGACTTCTTTGGTGGGACTCTGGGAGCCTAGCTGGCCCCAGTTCATGCAGTGCTGAGCTTGGAAAACTTTCCTAACCCATGGTTCTTAACCTCTTTGATCAAAATAAAAATCTCGGGGCACCTGGCTGGCTCAGTTGGAAGAGCATACAACTCTTGATCTTGGGGTCATGAGTTCGAACCCCACATTGGAGGTAGAGATTACTCAAAAAAATAAAGTAAAGTGATTTAAATTTTTTTTTTAAATAAAAATCTCTGGAGGCGCCTAGGTGGCTCGGTCGGTTAACTGCCTGCCTTCAGCTTAGGTCATGATCCCAGGGTCCCGGGATCGAGCTCAGTGAGGATCCTGCTTCTTCTCCCTCTGCCTGCCACTCAGCTTGCTTGTGCTGTCTCTCTCTGCCAAATAAGTGGAATCTTAAAAATAAATAAGTAAATAAATAAAATAAAAAAATAAGTCTCCCATCCTCCCTTAACTTCTGAAAACTGAAAATAGTAAGTAAAAGCAAATAGAAGTCAAGAGGTACAAACTTCCAATTATAAAATAAGTCAGTCACGGGAAAGCATGGGGAGCACACACGACAGTATTGAATTAACTTTGTGTGGTGACAGATGCTGACTAGATTTATTATTCCGATCTTCTCGTAATGTATGTGAATGTCGAGTCACAAGGTTGTACACCTGAAGCTAATATCATCTTGTACGTCAATTATACTTCAATAAAAAAAAATAAAAGTAAAAAAACAAAGGCCACGGCAATTTTAAAACAGGCCTTTCCAAAATTGGAAACCAATCCCTATTCTCAGCGAGCCCTGCTGCCCCCTCCTTTCCTGGGAAATTGATGGTGTGGCGGCCCAAACACGGAAGTCAGTTGACCACGTGTTAGCCGTGTGACCTTGGGCAAGTCAGCTAGTCTCTTGTCCTAATCGTTGTCATGAGAAAAATGAAAACCCTAACGCCCACATCACAGAACGCAATAAGGCGGCACATGTACAAGGCCAAGGATTTCATCTGGCTCGTCGTACATACTCAGTGGTCCTCTGCCCCTTGGTGCCATACTTCGCCCTCCGCAGCTGCTAGCAGATGGTAGTAGCACACAGGCCTGCGCAGACCCCCGCCCCCCTGCACCCCCCCCACCATGGCCCCAGGCAAATAAAAGCCCCTGACCTCCCTCGGGGGCTTCCCTGTGTAACAGCCCCTCCTCTTGAGCGGGGAGGGAGGCTCGAAGAGGAGACAGGAGCATGTAGATGCACACCTGTAGCAGGAGGGGGACTGAGTGTGTGCGTGCACCTGTGCGTGGATGTGGCCTCCAGAGGCCGCTGTGCCCCATCTGTTTCCTCCCTCCCGCAGCTATGACCGAAGCACCTTAGTGGCCATCGTGGTGGGCGTGGGACGCCTCATCACCGGCATGGACCGGGGCCTCATGGGCATGTGTGTCAACGAGCGGCGACGGCTCATCGTGCCCCCCCACCTGGGCTATGGCAGCATCGGTGTGGGTGAGATGGGGTGGGGCCCAGGCTGGGGATGGAGGAGACCAGGAAGCAGAATCAAGGGGCTCAGGTCCAAAAAACTGAAGCTCAGAGTAGGAGAGTGACTTGCCCAAGGTCACACTGCACATGCAGCATGAGTCGGGGCAGGTCTGGGACTAGAGTTTCGGTCTCCTGCCCCTGGAGTGGGAGGAAAGGAAATGACAGGGCCCTGGGTAGAATCAAAGCTTGACTGGGGAGAAGGGGACCTAGGGGTGGTGGAGCGGGTGGCCAAGCGAGACATTCAAATGTCCATTCAACCCGCCACACTGGGGCTGCAGCAAACATGGCACCAGCTTTGCTACCAGGAAAGGCTAGAGGGAGTCCCGGGGCCCCGGGGACTGTGGCATGCTGAGGGGTCCCGGAGGCTGCACCAAACATGAGCTGTGGCTGCCGGACTCTCACAGCGGGGCTCATTCCCCCGGATGCCACTCTCTACTTCGATGTGGTCCTGCTGGATGTGTGGAACAAGGCAGACACCGTGCAGGTGAGCACCTTGCTGCACCCAGCCCACTGCCCCCGCATGGTCCAGGACAGCGACTTTGTCCGCTACCACTACAATGGCACACTGCTGGATGGCACTGCCTTTGACACCAGGTAAGGCCTGGAGGGAGTCATGGGGCCCTGGGGGCTGTGGTATGATGGGGAGGGTGTCCGGGGCCCTTCCTGCCTCTCTCATCTCCAGCAACATCACCTCTGCCTCATTCTCTGCAGCTACAGTAGGGGTGGAACTTATGACACCTACGTCGGCTCCGGCTGGCTGATCAAGGGGATGGATCAGGGGCTGCTGGGCATGTGTCCTGGAGAGAGGAGGAAGATCATCATCCCTCCATTCCTGGCCTATGGCGAGAAAGGCTATGGTGAGGGCAGACAGGGACTCGGGGATTCCCCAGAAGAGGGCTGCCACATACAGTTGTTCAGGTTGTGTACTGCACAAGGGCACTCAGCCAAGGAGGCAAATCAGAGATGAAATCTATCTTGGTGATGATCTCACTAAGAAAGGGTGCTTTATTCTGATTCACACACACATTCAGTATGGGCTGGTGATGGCCTTGGGGATGATCCAGCTCACACCTCATAGGGGGAGCAAGAAACAGGGCTGCTGAGGGTAGGGAAGGGTCTCTGGAGAGCAGAATTAGCACCTTTTTGCAGGGTGCTCACATGGGCCTTCCGGAGTGGAGAAGGAGCCCTGCTTTGCTCTCCACTTGTATGGTTCAAGCCTATCCCTTCCCCAGGGACTGTGATCCCCCCGCAGGCCTCCCTGGTCTTCCACGTGCTGCTGATTGACGTCCACAACCCCAAGGACACCGTCCAGCTGGAGACGCTGGAGCTACCTCCCGGCTGCGTCCGGAGAGCCGTGGCTGGAGACTTCATGCGTTACCACTACAACGGCTCGCTGATGGACGGCACCCTCTTTGATTCCAGGTCTGGGGGGCTCCTGAGGAGGGAAGGTGGGGGCTGGGAGGAAGGTGGAAGAGGCTGAGGCAGGATCTGGGGTCGCCTCCTGGCAGCAACCAGGGGGGGTTGGCTCTGAGCTGCCAGGAAGGGCCAGGGGCCCCTTTGACCCCTTCCTGGCCCTCCCTGTCTTGTCTTACAGCTACTCCCGCAACCACACCTACAACACCTATGTGGGGCAGGGTTACATCATCCCTGGGATGGACCAGGGGCTGCAGGGTGCCTGCATGGGGGAGCGCCGGAGGATCACCATCCCCCCCCACCTGGCCTACGGGGAGAACGGGACTGGTAGGCGTGTCCCCTGTGCTCCCACTCACCTCCTCAGCTCCTCTGCACACTGTTCACTGACCTCCCCACCGCAGGGCCATCCCAGCACCTGCTCTGCCCCTCTCATCACAAAAACCATCACCCACCCACCTCCTGCCACACAGACTCCGTACTTGCCTCCAGGAGCAGCCCCCCCCAACTTCTCCCTTCCACACTGGAGAAGGGCAACCGACTCCTGAGTTTGGGGAAGGGGGGTGGTCATGGAAGAACAGAAACAGCGTAGCCCTAGGAAGCGAAGAGACCTGGACTTGAGCCCCAGCTTTGCTGGAAGCCTTAGTGTCCTCACCTGTAAAATGGGACTAATCCCATTGACCAGCAGGGTAAGTTGCTGGGAGGTTGCAAGATGATGTGTATAAAGGGCTCTCTAACTGGCCTGGCCCTTCCCTCCCCTGCCCCTCGCCCGCTCCCCCCCCCCCGCAAGAGGGTATTAGAAGAACTGACCCTGGGGACAAATGCCCTGTCCCATCTTGGTTTGAGAAAACAGAGCGGGGGAGTCTAGGGGGCTCTGTGGAGGGCTGAGCAGCCCCTCCTAGATTCCAAGCAGATCCTGTTCTGGCCCCAGGAGACAAGATCCCTGGCTCCGCTGTGCTGATCTTCGACGTCCACGTCATTGACTTCCACAACCCTGGGGATCCGGTGGAAATCAAGATTCTGTCCCCGCCCCCGGAGACCTGCAATGAGACGGCCAAACCCGGGGACTTTGTTCGCTACCACTACAACTGCTCCCTGCTGGATGGCACCAAGCTCTTCTCCTCGTGGGTCCGGGGCTGGGCCAGGGCTGGGCAGGTGGGTGGGCCCAGGTGCGGGGAGTCCTCCTGAGAGCCCCCCGACGGGTGCTTCGTCCATAAGTTCCCGTCCAGCGAGCATGGGGGAGCAGGAGGAGCTGAGGTTCTTGACTTGTGGGCACAGGCAAGGTGAAGCCAGCGTCTTGGGGAGCTCCGGGCTCCACTTGTGGAGGGGACACCAAAGCAGGGGCAGTGGCACCATGAGGAGGGCGAGCTGTCTCTGAACTGTTGGGCCCGGCCCTCGGCTGTGGGGGGCGGGCCCCAGGAGGAGTGACTGGGAAACTGGGCCTGCCGGGCGGGGCGGCGGGGGGGGGGACAAGGATGGGCACTGACCTGGGAATCTGCTCTCCCCCACCCCCAGCCACGACTACGGTGACCCCCAGGAGGCTACTCTGGGGGCCAACAAGGTGATCGAAGGCCTGGACACGGGCCTGCAGGGCATGTGCGTGGGAGAGAGGCGGCAGCTCGTGGTGCCCCCGCACCTGGCCCACGGAGAGAGCGGAGGTGAGGGGCCGACTGGCCTTGGTGGCTGGCGGGAGGGGTGCGGGAAGCCTCCCCAAGGGTTCTGCAAACATGCCATGTGCCCAACATGGGAAACGGAGGCCTCTGGGCTGGGGAGCACCCAGGGCAGGCTGTGAGTTGAGCCAGACCTGGGCCCGATGGCGAGACCTTCCTTCCTTCTCTTCTCCCTTCCCGCCTGTAGCCCGGGGTGTCCCTGGTAGTGCGGTGCTCCTGTTTGCAGTGGAGCTGGTGTCCCGGGAAGAGGGGCTGCCCACAGGCTACCTGTTTGTGTGGCACGAGGACCCTCCTGCCGACCTGTTTGAAGGCCTGGACCTCAACAAGGATGGCGAGGTCCCCCTGGAGGAGGTGGGTGAGGAGTTGGGTCCTTTTAAGAACCGGTCCCCCACTGTCACCGCCAACAGGAGCCACCGTGCATGGTGGCATCGAGCAACGCAGTCCTTCTGCCGTCCCGTCTGCACCTGTTTCTGCCCCTGTGCTGGGTCCCTGTGCCTTCGGTCCCTTGTCCCTGCCTCTTCCTCATGCAGCCCATTTCCCCCTACCGCTGGCTGGCTGCTGCCTGGGGCCCTTCCCCAGGCCACCCGCAGCCGCTCAGGCAAGACCCTCACTCCCCTCTCCCCTTGGCTCTCTTGGCTCCCAGTTCTCCACCTTCATCAAGGCGCAAGTCAGTGAAGGCAAAGGACGCCTCATGCCTGGGCAGGACCCGGAGAAAACCATAGCGGACATGTTCCAGAACCAGGACCGCAACCAAGATGGCAAGATCACGGTGGAGGAGCTCAAGCTGAAGTCAGATGAAGACCAAGAGCGGGTCCACGAGGAGCTCTGAAGGCCAGGGGCCTGGGCCCAAATGCAAAGGCCCACTTCTGGGAGGACAGTGGGCAGTGGGGCTGACCTTCCAAGAGTCACCTTCCCCTGTGCTGGCATGATGTCGAGAAACATCTAGAACTTGGTCAGAGGAGGCAACTCTGGTCTTCCCACCAGCCCCCGAGTAAAATCCACAGCACAGACCTCTATTCAGTTTTTCTCTTCTGACCCCAAACCCCTCCTTTACAAGTTTTGGAGTCCCAAAGCCAAGCCGGCCACTGGCCGAGCCTAGGGGATGAACGGGGCAATTGCCGGTGCCTCACCTATACCTCCCCTCCACGTCACCAGACACTGAACAAGGCCGAGCTTGTCCTTTCTTGCCCCAAACTTCCCTTTTGTCCATACTTTCCCTTGCCGCCCCCAGCCACCCCTCCTCCGGTCCCTATTCCTGTGTCGTGGCAGCTCCCCAGGAGCATGAACCAGGACTGACCGGACCCTCAGCCTTCCTCTCTCCGCTCTGTCTGGCTTCTGTCCCACCCCCTCCCCTGTGTCCCCACACTATGCTGTCCACCCCTCACTCCGGCCAGTAGTGGCTGAAGTGACCCTGGGGTGCCGCATTCAGGGCTGGGCTTGGCGTTCCCTTTCATCCCTAAGGAAGGATGCTTTCTCTAAGGGACGGAGAAGAGGAAGAATATGAAGGGGGCAGGGGTGAGGATAACTACTTGGGTGGGTCTTGGGGCTACGAAATCCTTGGTTCTGGGCTGAGATAAACTTGGAAGAAGGGCTCGTGGCGGGTGGGGGGAGAGCTCCGCACACTCAAAAGGCTAAAGTGGTATCCGATCCCTTTCTCCTTTGTACCAAATAAAAGACTAAACCAAAGGCCTCAGGATGTGCTCTTCTGGGGGCAGGGGGAGGCCCTTAGACCAAGGACTGGGGAAGAAAGGGGAACAAAGCAGGCGCTCAAGATACTGTGTCCCCAGGTTTCCGCCTCGTGCCTCCTGAGGCCTAACCAGGGCCCTCCCCATGGAAAGGGAGCCCCCTATCTGCTGGAGGGAGGGTGGGGAGTGGGCGTCTACAGAGGGGCCTGTGGGGAGGTGTGGAGAGATGATCCCTGTCTCCTAACTATCCCAACTGAATGGAAAGATGAGGTCCCTGACCTCAAACATGACAGAAGAAACTCAAGGATTAAATTAAGCTGCACAGGTCGGATTCCTCTCTTCCATGTAGACTTGTTCCGATGCTAGGCTACCCCCACCTCTCCCTGCTCCTGGCTGCCAGCCATTACCTCCTGCCAGATCCTCCCTCCTGTCTGAAGGAAAGGTAACAGGGCTCCAATCCCCAGGGTCTTGAGGGAGGAGTTGCTTCAGCCAGCACCCGCCCAGCTGGACTCTGGCCAGGACAACAAAGATGACCTAAGCCAGGAGAGGACAGACAGGAGAGCGGGGGAGCCTTGGGAGACTGATGGTCCGGGACTCCCCGAACTGACCCACCCCGCACAAGCACCCACTTCTTGCCCAGGATCCCAAGACACGGCTTTTCCCCATGGCCAGTCACGGACACTCCTGGCCCCAAAGCATCCCGAACGCACTTCGGGGTCTGACAGTGGCTGTGGGCCGGCCTCAGATGGTCACCACCCGCCCCCAGAAGCGAACAGGCCAGCTCAGAACCAGAGCCTGCGTGCAGGTGGAGGCGAGCAGCAGAAATGCGATGGCATTGGTCAGAAACACTGAAATCTGGCGCCAGCTCCTAGCTATGGCGTGGGAGCAAGTTTCTGGTCTTTTCCGAGCCACCTATAGATGAGAACTACACCTACCTTCAGGGCCCTAGTGAAGGAGGCACTGCCGTCCCCTTCAGAGCCTCAGGGAAACGCATGCGCCACAGCCGGGCACGCTTTGCGGGAGGATGAGGGGTGTGTTTCTCTGAGGACAGGCTACAAAATGCCAGGGGAAACTGGTACGTTTCCATTTTTTCTTCAAAAGGTGCCCTAGAGAGAATTCAGCTAGTTCTTGACCATCCAAGTCAACAGGGGAGGGAGAAGGAAAGAAGCTGAAGGAAGCCCAGTGATGCAGGACGACGGAGCAGAGATCACTTCCACTTTACTGTGTCACTGAGTGCCTTCACCCTTCAGGTCCCGGTCTTGACTCCCCTGAAGTCACCCATCTTCGTGGCCCTGGGCCCACATAAGGAAGAGAAGACACAGCAGGAGCCAACGGCACAAGAGAAAATCTGCACCCAAATGGATCCCTTTGGGGATCCATAAATAGGGAACTCTGCACACAGGGCTGGCCAGACCCAACTGACCCCAACTGAAGTCCAAGTTTAACAGCTACTTCAGCATCAAGTGAAACCATCCCAGGTCAGAAACGCACCTTTCAACCCCACCTGCCCACCTCGGTCCACAGGCATATTTAGGACGTGCTCAGAGGGTCCTGTGAGTGAATTTGGTGTTTTGTATTTTTTTAAGATTTTATTTTCTAAGTCATCTCTACACCCAATGTGGGGCTCGAACTCATAAGCCAGAGATCAAGAGTCAAACACCCCACTGACTGAGCCAGCCAGCCCTGCACCCCCCAAATCAGAACAGCTGTTTTTTCCTTTTTTTATTTTGATCTGTTTCACACATTAGATTTGTTTGAAGACTAGCTTCCTGTCTTTAAAAACTGGGCGGGGGGAGAACCCCTGGACTAGTTGGTCCCTAGAGTGCTAACACTCTGTAGGTCCCGTGTTCACCTGGCTGGCCCTCCCATCCGGCAGGGCCTCCCGCCAGCCTCTGGAGACCACCACAGAAGACGCTGGGAGAGGAGGAGGGAGACGGGGCTCGGCAGGTGCACCCCCCGGGGCTCCGTGCACACACAGGGAGTAGCAACGCTCCCCGCAGGGCGGCCTCCTGGTGAGGCTCCCCCTCTCCGCAGCCTGCAGCTCCTGGCCCCCCGCCCACGCTCAGGAGCCCTGCATCTCTCTCCAGTCCCCGCAGTGCAGGATGTGCTGCAGCACCCCGTTGACCACGTCCAGCGTCTCGTCCTTCTCCAGCACGATGTCGTAGGAGTCCATGTAGCGCTCCCGCCGCTCATCCACCTGCCCAGGGAAGGGGGATAGAGTCCCCAGAACGCCCTGACTTCTGCCTCCACCTCTCAGGCACCCGGGGCAGGGGGAGGAGAACATTCGAGTTGCAACTCCCCAAGAGCAGCTCCGGGTTACAGGGACCCGCCCTTTGGATGGCAACAGGCACAGGGTGCCACCATTAACCCTTGGGTCAATGGCAAAAGGAAAGGACGAGAATTAAAATTTAAAAACCAGATGTTACTTCTAATCCATCTGGACTGAATTTTCACAAGGCTCAAGCATTCTGGAGGTCTTTAGCACCTGCTGGCTGGGGCGGGGCGGGGGGAGGGACTGGTAGCCTTCTAACTTGACACCACACTGTGCCCCTTTATGACTGGTGTTTTCACCCATTGGCCTCTGGTCTGTTCTTGTGTTTTCCTTCTCTGAATTGTAAACCCACCTCCCGAATACTGACATCTCCCACTTCAATCATGCCTTACAGGTGTGACTGAGGAGGACTGTAATCAGCCCCACCACCTCCTACACTACGTACCATGGGCAGATGAACCTCCTTGCCTCGGTTTCCCCATCTGTAAATTGAGGCATAAGAGGCACCACCTCAAAAGGCTGCCGTAAGGACTAAATGGGTCGATACGCCTGGCACATGGTGAGCACCCAAGAGTAAGTGTCTCTGAACTCTGCTGTGGCGCCATGTGCCCAACACAGCCGTCATCACGGTGTCCCTATGAGAATATAGCTTGTGGCTCACCTCTGTGCCCTGGACACTGACCGCGCCCGGCACATAGAGGTGTTCGCGAGGCATTTAACAGGCAGCGAAACAAAAGCGCGCCACTAAGACAGGAAGCCCTGGTCCCACACCTACCTTGTCATTTAAGAAGCCAATCTTGAGAATGTTCTCCACACCAGGAACCCCATCAGCCATAGTGAGGTCCCCCATGGAGTCTCCCAGCAGGAGGATGTTGGTTTTGCCCTGAAGCTGCTGGAAGTACCCAGAGTTCTCACAAACGGAGCTGTTCTTGTTGTATGTGTGTATGAGCTGGCCCTTGAATCCCTGGAGGAAACCCTAAATAATCAAGAGACAGAAGGGCTGCAGGGACCATCCAGAGCCAGTGTCCCACTGTCTCTGTCACAGAGGAAAGGGAATCCCGACAGCCAGAGACATGCCAAAACCTCCTTGTAGTCTAAACTCGGGGCCGGCCAACTAGGTCCTGTAGCCAGATGTGGCCTATTTTTATAAATTCAGTTTGACCGGGACACAGCCAGCCTCATCTGTCATATTGTGTCCACGGTTGCTTTTTTTCCACAGCAGAGCTGAGTAGTTGTGACAGATCAGAGTCCATCCCACAACGTCTAAAATATCTACTACCTGGCCTTTTACAAAAAGGGCGTGTAACCCCTGATTTAAACTCACAAGGACTCTCAGACATCACTGATCAGCTACTCTGGTGGCAGCATGAAGCCGTAACACGAGCACTGCTCAGGCCACACGTGTGCTCACTCTCAGCGGCGGGCGCGGCCTCACCCCAGGTGAACAGAGGAGAAGTGCAGCCACTGGTGTGAGGGGAAGAAGTCCGAGTGTGGGTGAGTCGGAGCGGCCCACCTCTGGCTCCAGGAAGACAAGTCAAAGTCTAAGCCCTGGAGGACCTAGGATGGCACACGACCTGGGATGGTGACACAGGGCCTGGCTGAACCCTAAATTAGGTACCCCAGGACACTGGGCTGTCAGTCAAACACCAAAGGGCAAGTCCTCCACAGGTAACTGTCTCTAGCGTGCATGAAGAAAGAAATAACTGCCCGAGGGCAAGAAGCTAGCACTTTCCCTCCCTCTCCTCCCCAAGTCAGGCTTCAGGATTTCGGGTGCTGCCGGAGGGGCTAGTGGTCCCCACCCCTCATCCACTCCCACCCTAGAGGAGATCCGGCTCACATCTTCATCAAAGTCCATGTAGTTTGACACGATGTGGATGTTGGGGTGGAACACTTTCATCTGTCGGATAATCTCCTCCAGGATGTCACCAATGCCCGCGGAAAAGATGAAAAGGGGAATGTTGTTCTGGTAGAGGGTGTTGAAGAACGTCTTGTATCCCTCCCTGAAAACAGATGGATGGATTCCACAATGGCACTGCCTCTGCTCTTGGTCTTTATTTTCTATTGGGGTGATGTATTTTTAAACTTTTTCTTTTTAAAGATTTATTTGGGGCACCCGGATGGCTCAGTGGGTTAAGTGTCTGCCTCCGGCTCAGGTCATGGTCCCGGGGTCCTGGGATCGAGCCCCACATCAGGCACCCTGCTCACTGGGGAGCCTGCTTCTCCCTCTGCCTCTCCCTTTGCTCCTGCTCTCTTTCTCTCCCTCTCCTGTCTCTCTCACATGCTCTCTTTCTTTCAAATAAATAAATAAAATCTTTAAAAAAATAAAGATTTGTTTATTTGAAGAGAGAGAGTGTGTGGGTGGGGAGGGAGGGAGGGGCAGAGAGAGAGAGAGAGAGAGAGAGAGAGAGAGTCTTAAGCAGATTCCCCACTGAGCACAGAGCCCAACATGGGGCTCAATCTCAGGACCCTGAGATCACAACCTGAGCCAAAATCAAGAGTTGGAGGCTTAACCGACTGAGCCACCCAGGTGCCCCTAAATTTTTTATTTCTTTCCTTTTTGTTTTTTAAGATCTTTTATTTATTTGAGAGAGAGAGCAAGCAGGGGGAGGGATTGAGGGAGAGGGAGAAGCAGCCTCCCCGCTCAGAAGGGAGCCCGACATGGGGCTCGATCCCAGAACCCTGGGATCATGACCTGAGCCAAAGGCAGACACCTAACCAACTGAGCCACCCAGGCGCAAAAAAAAAAAAAAACAAAAAAAACCTTTTTTTTTTTTTAAGATTTTATTTATTTATTTGACAGAGACACAGCGAGAGAGGGAACACAAGCAGGGGGAGTGGCAGAGGGAGAGGGAGAAGCAGGCTGCCCTCTAAGCAGGGAGCCCGACGTGGGGCTTGATCCCAGGACCCTGGGATCATGACCTGAGCCGAAGGCAGATGCTTAATGACTGAGCCACACAGGTGCCCCTAAAAACATTTTAAATTGAGGTATAAAATACAATAAATGGTTAACATGCACTAATCTTAAGTGTTCAATTCAGTTAATATTTATATACGTATACCCACATGTAATTACTAACCAGATCAAGGTTCCCTTCCCAACCAATGCCATTCCCCTCCTGTTGTGACTTCATATCACTGCTGATCAGCTTTGCCTATCCTTGAACTTCATATAAAAGGGCTATTGTTTGCTTGTTTGTTTCTGCCTTATTTTGCTGGAGCAAAATACAACCAGGTAGCTATCTGGGGCAGCTTCACTGAGGAAACACTCCAACCCCACCCTGGTACTTATTGGGTCTGCACACGTCTCTACTTTCTTGGCTTTTCATGGATCTCCCCAGTTAAAACACCCAATCCTTGAGAGCAGGCAACCATGTTGCCTCCTTCCTCTGTGTGACCGCATCCCTCCTCCAGTAAAGAATATGGCAGCAGAACCCTACGACCCAGCAATTGCACTACTGGGTATTTACCCCAAAGATACAAATGTAGTGATCTGAAGGGGTACCTGTACCCCAAGGTTTAGAGCAGCAATGTCCACAATAGCCAAACTATGGAAAGAGCCCAGATGTCCATGGGCGCCTGGGTGGCTCAGTTGGTTAAGCGACTGCCTTTGGCTCAGGTCATGATCCTGGAGTCCTGGGATCGAGTCCCGCATCGGGCTCCCTGCTCAGCGGGGAGTCTGCTTCTCCCTCTGACCCTCCCCGTCATGCTCTCTCATTCTCTCTCAAATAAATAAAATCTTAAAAAACAAGAGCCCAGATGTCCATCGACAGATAAATGGATAAAGAAGATGTAGTATATACATACAATGGAATATTACTCAACCATCAAAAAGAATGAAATCTTGCCATTTGGGATGACGTGAATGGAACTAGAGGGTATTATGCTAAGTGAAATAAGTCAATCAGAGAAAGACAATTATCATATGATCTCACTGATATGAGGAATTTAAGAAACAAGGCAGAGGATCATAGGGGAAGAGAAGAAAAAAATAAAATAAGATGAAACCAGAGAGGGAGACAAACCATAAGAGACTCTTCATCTCAGGAAACAAACTGAGGGTTGCTGGAGGGGTGGGGGGTGGGAGGGATGGGGTGGCTGGGTGATGGACACTGGGGAGGGTGTATGTTACAATGAGCACTAGGTATTATATACGACTGATGACTCACAGACCTGTACCCCTAAAACAAATAAAACAGTATATGCTAATTAAAAGAAGAAGAAGAATACGCCAGCAGACAGACCAGAACCGGGAGGCCACTGATGATCAAGGACCCCAGGCCAGCCAGCTCCCACGTCTGGGTTAAT